TGTAACTGAGGAAGATTCTGGGGCCCACAGCCACCAAGTTGTGGTAACGACCACATGGACACTTGTAGGGGACTTTAAGCTTCAGAAACATCTTACTCCTGCTTTCCCCCAGGTGGCCCACATCCCTGTGATGGAGTAAGAAAGCCTCCTTGCCCAGAGGGGCCAGTTAACCCCCCTGAAGTCACACAGTCCACAGCAGGTCTGTCAGAGGTCTTCCTGGGGCCTGGGGGACGGGGGCTTGGGGGGCTCTCCCAAGCTGAGCAGCAGAAGTTGTTGTGAAGGGGAGGGAAGGCAGGACCCCTTCTCCTGGCTCCTCATGAACGTTTAGGAGGCAGCTCCCCCTGCCTCCAGCTCCCTCTTTTCCCTTTAGAGCCCTCCCTGAAAGGTTAATTACCAAATCATCCCATCAAGGGAAATTGCACTTTGTGCCTTTAAAGACCAAACTGAGCTTCAGCAATGTGGTTATTTATGGTCTCTAATAAGCATTTTCTGGGTGTGATTAACCTTTACGCCAAAGTCACACTGGGATTTGGGATGGCAGCTTCAATTCCAGCCCTGCTCTGCGCTGGCCTGGGGGTGGGGGCAAGGGCAGCAGCCGGAGCAGGCAGCTGACACACTGTGCCCCTTCCACCCCACCCTCTATGCCCAGTCCTGCACCCTCCTCTACCCATCCCTTCTCCCATGCCCTGTCCTGACCTGAGCCCTCCCCTCCTCCATCTTTCATCCACTTGAAAAAACAGACACGGATTGCCTGCTTACTGTGTCCTAGTCCTCACTCAACAGCTGAAAACAGTTCAGTGACCTGGAGCACCTCAGCTGTGAAACCCGTATGAAACGGGAAGCATGAGACCTACACGTCTGCCTTCTGCAGCACAGTGCCCCTTGGTACAGGTGAGTGAGCCTAGCACTCCACCAGCCTCAGATCCTTGGTGCCATTTTTGGAAAATGGTAAACCTTACGAAGTCCTGAAGGCTTGGTTTGTCAAAAATTGTTCTGAGCCCGGCTGGTGTGGCTCAGTGGTTGAGCATCCACCTATGAACTACTAGGAGGTCACGATTCAATTCCTGATCAGGGCACACGCCCAGGTTGCGGGCTCGATCCTCAGTAGGGGGCATGCAGGAGGCAGCTGATGGATGATTCTTTCTCATCATTGATGTTTCTGTATCTCTCTCCCTCTCCCTTCCTCTCTGAAGTCAATAAAAATATATTTTAACAATTGTTCTGAAAGGAGAAAAATGGTGAGGGCTGATGTTGGGGGCGGGGAGGGAAGCAGATGGAGGCATCCGAGAGAGTGGCAGTTCCCAGGTCAAACCACTTTGGGTCGCCGTCAGAGAGGATGACAGGTACGGTTGGTGAGGCCCGGGCCTCCGATGTGACTCCATTTGCCATATGCTCCGGGGATTTGGGGGTTGTGAGGCCTCCTTGAGAAGTGGCAGATGCTGTGCACCCTCCCCTGGAAAATGGTTGTCATTACACACTACTTGTGCATTTACTTACAGGGTTTCGTGCCCCTACCCTTTTGTGCTTGAGGACCCTCCATTAAGGAACTCTCAGCTTCAGAAAGAAATAAACAGCATCCTTGAAACTCTGGGGCCTGTTCCTACAATGCGGCAATTGCCTGTTGATGGAGATAGAAAACTGCAGTGAATGTTGAAAAGGAGAGCAATGGATGGTGGGAGGAAATACACAGGAAATACTCCCGATTTTTCATGGAAGTGTGATTCGGGAATCAGCCAGAAGCCTCTTCAAACCCTTCCGCAGAGCTTGACGTGGCACAGACACACGTTCTGTGCAGAGCTGACCTTTCCTGAGCGGAAAGGTTGGTTCGGGAATATTAAGAAGCCCTTTTCTTTGCATAATGCAAAGCCAGCCCTCTCATGGTAGAAAATGACTCTGCGAACCATCATACCCAAGAAGGAGATGTAAGGGTCAGGGTTGTAGGCAGCCAGCCAAGGACAGGCTAGCCCTTTGTACTGGGCATTTGGTTTGGTTTCATGATGAATCCGGATTGCTCTTTTCCTCAATGAACCCGAGACATTAAGACGCGAGGCTAAGACGTATGGCTGGTGTATTTTCCATCTAATTAGAACCCTGGGGCGTGAGTGCTTTGTCTCGAGGCTGTTTCATGCATCTGGGGCTAGTCCAGGGTCCCCATCTGCTGGTGTCATGAGCACCAGGGTCCAGCGCGTGTACAGAAGGGACGGGGTGACTGAGTCGCTCCACTTTGGAGGGTTAGGGAAGGTGCTGCCAAGCGGAGGGGCTGTGGGACTGGCTTTTGAGGACACCAGGGCTCACCAGGCGAAGGGTGGGCCAGGCTGAGGAGGAGCGAAGACCCTCAAGAGCACAGGTGTGCAGTCACCCGCAGGATCCATGCACTGATTGATAAGCAATTCCATGGGAATGAAATGCGGTATTTTAAGGGGATCTGAAGACTGAAGCACAAAGCGCAACTTCAGGGTCAGAAGGATAATGGTGGAATGTCAGGCAGCATGACTGATAATCTGGAACAGGGTGTTTCCGTTTCTTTAATTTGCCTGTGGCTGAGCTGCCTCCTGGAGCCCCACTTCCATTCTCTGTGTGCGTGTGAGCATGTTGGGAGGGAGGTGGCAGGGAGTCCTAGCCTCCTTCTAGAAGGAGCCCCTGGCCCCCTGAGCTGACTGAGCAGCTCTTCTCCGGGGACAGAGCAGAGCTGAGTCCCTGCTGACTGTGCTGAGCTGAGCAGTGCAGGTTTGTCCCCGAGGACTGCTCTCTGCTCTGCCAGCGGAAGCCACTGGCTGGCCTGGTGGCGTCCTCTTCTCTCCAATTCTGCGTTTTCACTTGGAAAATGAGAATAAAGATATTTCGCCATCTCTCCGGCGACTGCGAAGTTTAATTACTGATTAATAAAGTGTTGGAAGTTCCTTGGGGCCAGAGAGTTGAATGGGTTCGTTGTAATATCTCCCGAGTCCCAGGAGTGAATTAGCTAACCCAGCACCGTTCGCTGAGCAGCTGGGGTCTGGGCACCAGATGGGGGTGCAGGGCTGTGGGGGGTGCTTGGGAGCTTGGCTCAGTAGGAGCACAGAAATCCCTTTGATGTGAAAAAGGAGTGTGCCCGTGAGTGAATAGTCAACAAGCCCACTAAGGACTCAGGCAGGGCACTGAGGGGACAACGTATGTGAATTATCAGGGTCAAGGGTTGGGGGGGGGGCTTCCTGAAGGAGGTGGTGGTAGGACAGACTCTGACCAGGAGTGGGGAGCACTCGAGTCCACCTTGGAATGTAGGGTAGGAGAGAGGGGAGCACAGCCTGCCTTTGTCATTGGACAGGTGTGGGAAGGAGCAGCTACCCAGAAGTGGGTGGCCCTGGGAGGGGCAGAGGGGGACAGGGCCGGAGAGGACATTTGAGACAGGTGAGCATGGAAAGTTCGCCTCTGGAAAAGGGCAAGTCAGTTTGCCTCTGGACTGGGGGAAGGTCCTGAGGTCCGAAGGGGTGAGTGGGGAGGGGTGCAGGGGCAGGGAGGAGGTACTAGTACAGCCTTGGGGAGGGTGGGAGGGGGATGGTGGAGTCTAGCTTGGGCAGAAGGCACGTGAGCAGGGCAGGACCAGGATTAGGGTGAGGCCAATGAAGCATTCTCCTCAAGTGCAAAATGTAAGGTGCCCCAAATCTCAGTAATCAGATAAATGCTATTTTAATATTATTACTGATCTTTCCTTTTACCTCAGGTGCCAATATAGCCCCGCACTGTTACTGATCTTGTCTTTAAAAAAAAAAAAAAGGTTTTGAATATTTTGTTCATCATGGATTTTTTTGCATTAATTTAGAGTTCTTTTAATATTGCATTAAAATATTATTTATCTTGAGTACTGAATTTTCTGGTGCCCCCTTAAAATTTGTACCCGAGGTGATGCTTCGCTCTCCTCACCCTGTTCCCGGCCTGTGAGTGAGGGCTGTGCACCCACCCCGCTGCCCCTCCTCTAAACTAGCCATTTGCTCAGTGGGACTCAGACAAGCCCCCCCGTCTCCCCACCTCATTTTCCCGCTGTGAAGATCACAGGGTCTGCACTGTGAAAGTCTTCAAGAAAAGCTGGAGAGAAAACTGAGGCACAGAGAGGGCAAGTAACCTGTCCATGGCAACACAGTGAAACGGGCTGGACGCCGGGTCTCTTTTGACTTTAAATCCACAGGAAGGGGTGGTGACCTTGAGGGAGGGGACACAACAGTTGTGTGGGGGTGTTACTGAAGAAGGGGCAGCCCTCCAGCTGTGGGGTCCACACCACTCTCCTCCCAGTGGGCTGGAATTCCGGAATCAGAGTGACACCGAGTCCCTGGGGAATGTGAGGGGTGACGGTTCTCCCTAGAACTGGGCAGCCGTCTTTCCAGGCGCATTTGTTTCTTCATCTCTCTGGGCCTTAATTTTCCCAACTGTGAAAAGGGACGACCACACCTGCCCCAGGGAGAAGTCAGTGCCATCGCAGATGTAAAAAGGCTGGATAAATGGTGAGGTACAAGTTGTAGGGACTGGTCACTAGCTGGGCAGGGATGAGGCCGGGAAGCAGCTGACTGAACAAGAGGCCAGGAGAGCTCGCAGCTCCAAAGGGGGGGGGCGGGGGGGAGGAGGTGCACAATGAGGACCTATGAGCTATGGGGCTCAGGGTGTTGGGGCACAGTTGGGCCATGCTTGGGATCCCATGTGGATGGACGCAGCTTTCCTAGGCAGATTGTTTAGTTGGGGCCTTCCTTTTCACTGGGGGTCCTCTAGCTCTCAGGGAGAAAATTTACCTGCCCTGGGGATCTGGGCCCCTGCTCTTACCAGCCTCCTTTCCAGGCCCCTCCAAGAGCAAGGCGGCTCTACATCAGGCAGGGAGGATGGGGCGGGGTGGGTGGGGGAGGGGTTGTGTATGTGTGTGGGGGGGCGGGATTTGGGAAGACACATGGACGAGGGGAGAAGAGGGTAGGCAAGAAGCTGCAGGCTGGACTGCTCATGGCAGTCTAACCATGTCCCTCATCCCCCTGTGCCCACAGGCCCTTCTCCTCCTGGGGCTGAACCCCGTCTCTGCCTTCCTCCAGGACCAGCACTGCGAGAGCCTGTCCCCGGTCAGCAACGTCTCTGGTGAGTACCCGCACTCTGCTCCTGCAAGAGTCCAGCCCCGCCCCCTGCCACAGCCCATCACCTGCCCCACCAGGGTTCTCGCACAGAGCCATGCCCTACGGCAGGAACAGCAGAGATTTCCTCTCTAGAGTCCAAGCAATTCCTTCTCCAGGGAGGGAGTGCCGTGTTAAGGTGGATCCTGAAACTGTGGTGGGAAAGAGAGCTGTGAATGGGTAACGGTGTCTGCCACACACACAGGGGGGGCTTGTGGCAGTGTGCTGGGCAGTCACACACACACAGGGGGGGCTTGTGGCAGTGCGCTGGGCAGTTATCTGCCCTGCTTTGGGGTGGGCAAGAGGAGCCGCTGCCCCAGCCCTTGCTGCTGTGAAGATCAACAGCGCAGGGCTGAGCTGTGGCTCGGGCATCGGGGTGGAGAAAGGCTGTGTTCTGTGTAGGGGCTAACACTGTGCCAGACGCTGCCAGAGGTATCTGAGCTATATTAACCCGGGAAGGTGCTGTAATCCTCACTGTACACACAGGGAAACGGAGCACAGAGAAAAATGAGCAAGGGCCAGAGCCAAGATTTGAGACCAGGCGGGCTGGCTTCCAGATACGTCTTCAACACCAAGCTCGATAATGCCTCAGTGAAAATACTGCATAACTGCAAATATGACGAATACTTGTATAACTTTTTTTTTTACAAAGGGCTTTTGAATAATGGTCTTATTTCATGTTCACAAGAGTTTAAGACTCATCTGAGGGAACTTAGGCACAGGAGAGTTACGTGGGGAATTTAGGTCTTTGGCTTTGCCTTGTCAAGACCATGCCTTTTCTAACTTGGGGTGTGACCCCCGAGCCCTCACCCCGGCTCCTGCGATGCTGCTGCTGGGCAGGTGGGAGGTCTCCCTGCACCTGAGGGTCTTAGGGAAGCTCAATCTTTGGTGATTTATTTCCCCCTTTAGGTCTCTCCTCCATTCAATCCAAAAGGCCGACTATGTAGCTGGGTTGAGGGGAAGGCACTTGCCATGAATTGCTCACTACAATGCAGGTGGCAGGGAAATTAGATCAGGAGTGGTATGAATCCAGGAAGGCTTTCTGAAGGAGGAGGTTCAAGGTGAGTCTCTGAGAAACTCTGAGTGTGGACTGGCAGAGAAGACCCAACGCTCTGAGTCAAAGCTAGAGTTGACTGAAGACCAGCAGCTGAGTTTGGTGAATGTTCCATCTGGCTGCCAAGTTGGCTAAGCTGGGTCATGGGGAATGGGGAAGTTCTTGAGCAAGAGTCTAGAGTGCTAGCGGAGGGAGACTGGGAGGGAGGCCACCTGCTCAGAGGCTGGGCTTGAGATGAAAGGCCCTGCCCGTAGCCCCACATACATGGGGGCCAGGTCAGGCTCCATTAATTTGCTTGTTGTGTTCAGGAGAAGTGACATCCCTGAGCCACTGCAAGTATCACCTGTCCTTGGAGGCAACAGGCCGTGATGAATGCCATTCATGCGCCGATGATTTGTACTCTGTGCCATTACCTCCAGCTTGGCCCAGCATGCGGGGCTTCATGGCACACAATCCATCACCCTCTACAATGGCCTCTGATAATGCGCTGTTTGTCTTCGAAACCAAGACCTACCCAGACCAATGGGTACTGGTAGACAGATGGTGAGGGTGGGTGGAGGGATGGGGACAGATGGATGGGCGTCTGGCCGGGGCAGCTAGCACTGAACCGGGGCCTTTGGGGTCTTCTCACATGCCAGAAATAGGGAGAGGGTGGGTCCCCGGAGCCATCATAGACTTGGCAACTCATAAAATCATGTCATGAATATGACAATGCCAGAAAGTAATGGAATTATTAACTAATGACACATGCAATCATGTTGTTGACAAGAACCCATGGTCATCAGTCCCAACCCCTGTCTTAAGGTCATGGATAATAACAATAATTAATGATAGCTTATATTTATTTTGCGTCCACTAAGTGTAGACACCATTCTAAGTGCTCTAATCTCATTCAATCATCAAACAGCATAGCCAGGAAGTATTTTTATCCCCATTTTACAGAAGGCTCAGAAAGCTTTGATCACTTGCCCAAGCACATACAGTTACTAAGCAGCCACTCTAAGATTAGAAGCAAGTGGGCCCGACTCTAGACTTTCTCACCACCACGTTATGTGGCTGCCCAGAGAGCCGTGGTGCCCAGGGCCTAGTGTGGTCCATCATCCTGGGAGGCAAAGTTGCCCCTGCAACTTCCCATGCTCACAATGGGTTTGCACATGGCCCCTAATTGTCCTCCAGACCTACTATGTGCCTGGCACTGTGCTAGGTATTGGGAATGCAAAAATGAAGAGCCCACAGACCTATAGGACAGGAAGCCCACCCATTTGTCCTGATGAATCACACACTCTACAAAGGTATCTTTCTTCTCTGCCCAGACAAAGAGGAGGCAGCTCAACCACAAGGTGGTAGAGGAGCAGGACTCGCTGCCTGCCCTCTGCCACCCTCTCCAGGCTGGTGACACAGGCAGAGCCCCTGCCCATTCATCCCCGCAGCACCTTCCTCTAAATGGCGTGCGTGTGTGTGTGTGTGTGTGTGTGTGTGTGTGTGTGTGTGTTTCAGAAGCTGCCTCCCTCTCTGAACAGCCTTGGCTGAGTCCTGCTCCTGGGCTTAAACCAAACAGGAGGATGGGCCTCCCAGCCTCAGGCTGCTGCCAAGTGCCCACCTACTCTGGTTACTCAGAAACCCCTGATGAGAGACCCGACATAACTGGGGGCGGGAGCCAGGCTCCCAGGCTCCCTCA